GGGTTACGTGCGTGTGTGTGTGGGTGGCGTGCGTGGGGTGTGGGTGTTATTTACAACGTGGTGAGTCACACGGGGCACAAAGCATGATGTGGTTTGTGTTGTTGGGGAACTGCGCCGCAAGACGGTAGTTCAGGGGATGGCACACGAGAGAGCAACTTTATTAAGGGAAGTACCCTGTACTCTCCAGCGAAGTAGTGGTCGAAGCTCTGCTGAATCGGGTGTTGGTACGTGTTGGGGAGGGCGGGGGAGGGGAGAGGAGACGGGACACGGGGGTGTCAGGGGGGAGGGGGAGTAAGGAGGAGGAGGGCCGAGGAGGGCGAGGGAGGACGAGGGATGCGGCAGAAAGAGGTGTCTTGGTAGTCTTTGCCAGTGTGGTGGTAGTGGCGATGGTGCATGGTTTTGGACGATTCCAATGTCGTTGTTAGTTGCGACAGCCCATTTCTCGAAACACCTCACGGAGTCTTGGCATGCGTACATTCGCCCACATACACATTCGCACGTCTTACCCCACCCCCTTCCACCACCACACACACCCCCCCACACACAAATGCACCCACAGGCTTTTGGAATGGATGCTGCTGCTGCGTTGCTAGATGCCGTGGAGCGCCGGATGCAGGAGGCGGCAGCGGCACAAGCCGCAGGGCAGGTGGGGCGCCAGGGGGAGGAGGGGGGTTGGAAGTCCTGAGGCCCTGAAATGGGGGGTGATGTTGGGTGGTGGTACGGGGTTTTGCTGAAGAGCAGAGATTAGAGCCTTGGTTTCGGAGCTCGGGGCGGGAAATTTTTGCCATGGACATTATACATATATGGTTGCATGGCTATGGGCCGGCCCCTCTTTGTGTGCCCCGTGCTCAGGACCTCCCCTTAGATGTGGACAGATGGTCCCCGAAGGCATTCCCTGGGGTCTCTGTTTTGCCTGGTGGCGTGCAAGAGCCGCGGTACTGGGTTTGTGTCTTAGTTGCTGTAGTCCCCTTGTTGGTTGGTACACGTTTGCGTCATTCCTGATTTATCCGTTATGCCGTATGATTTATGTCTTCATGTGTTATGATTTATACAGTGTTTTGGTGTTAAAAGGCAGCACCGATGATCTGTTTCGACATCCTCATCCATCCTCATTCATCCGCATGATCACACTCAGTGCCTCTGTCACTCGTTCATCCATCCACTCGACCTCATCTTCCCTGCTACTTCTCGGATACCTCCGACACACACACACCACCGCCATCCACCTGGGGTTACCTGTTGTGGCCTCGTGGGGGTGGGGTTGGAGGTGGTGGTGGGGGTGCCTGTGATCTGATCGGATCTGATCGGATCTTCCTGTTCCCGCTCTTCCTCTTCCCGCCTTAAGGCCGGCTGGAAACTTCGAGAAGCGGCGCTGCTGGCGGCCGGGTGCTGCGCGGCGTCTTTCCCTGGCGGCCTGGGGGAAGGCCGCGGGGGCGCCAAGCAGCGGGCCACCGCGGCGGCTCTGCAGACCCGACTGCAGCGAGTGGTGGACGAGGTGCTGCGGACGGACCTGCAGGTGCGTGTGTGTATGTGTGTGTGTGTTTGGAAGTGTGGATGTGGTGGGGGAGGGAAGGGCGTGTGGGTGTGGGTATGCATTATGCTTCCAGATTGATTTGCGTTCTGGAGTGCTGTTGGTCTGTTTGATTTTTTGGGTGTCTGCTTTGTGTTTGTTGCGCCGTGCCGTTGGGAGTTCGTTGGGGATAGTTTTGGGGGAGCTTTGGGGAGCTTTCGTTTTGCGGTCTTAATCCTGAAGCCCCTCCTGCCTCCTCCCTTGGGAATAATCCCCCCCGCCCCCTGCCTCCCCGTGCCTCCTCCCTTGGGGCTCGCGTGTCTCTACTACCGTAACTTCCCTCCCTCTCCCCCCAGCGTTTGTTGGCTTTTGTTGGTACAATCCCCCCCTTTCCGTGACCTCTGTTGCATGCGATTCTCCCCCCCCACCCGGGTGTCCCCTCCCTTGCTGCCTTGAAGGGTCCGCTGATTAACCCGCTGTTGGTGGGTCGAGCGATGTGGCTGGCTGCCCGGCTGCAGCCCATCCTGCGAGCCGACCAGCGGGGGCCGCTGCTGGCGGCGGCAACTGCGGGACTGAACAGCGGCCTGCCGTCACCCGTCAAGATTGGTACGTCGGCCGGTGGCTGGGTGGGTGGCTGGGCGGGTGGGTGGCTGGGTGGGCCAGTGCCGCGAAATGGTATGTGAAGTCGGGCATTGAAGGCGCACATGTATGTAGGTAGATCTGTATGTATGCAGTGAAGATTTGTTGGCGAACATGAATACATACATTACGTACATGCACACTCACCTCCCGCTCAGGTGCGTGTCGTGCCCTGGCCAGCCTCGCGCCCCGCGTCCCGCCTGAGGTGCTGGGCCCCCTGGCTGAGTCCTTGTACGGCGGGTTGTTGGGGCTGTTGGCGGTTAGTGGCGAGGACGCGCTGAACTTGGTGCTGGAGAGCATGGTGCCCCTCATCAAGGTATGGGAGTACGGAGGTCGTGGGGGGAGGGGGAGGGGGGACGTGGACTGGGGGATTGGTTAAGATTGGTTAAGACACCCTAATGGAGAGGGACTCGCGCACCTTATGTAGGACACGTAGGACACGGAGACAAAACCCTAGCTCAAACCGATTATCTTATGACTTAAAGTGTCTGTGTGCATGTTCTGCATGCGTGTGTGCAGCTATCATGGTGCGACTGCCGGGATGGTCGGGGCTTTTGCACGGTTGAGTAGTAGTAGTAGTAGGCTACTGACCATCATTTGAAAAAAATTAAGACGAAAAACGGTTTTGGTAGTCGACTATGTCCAGTATGCGATTCGAAGGGGGATTTTAAATAAAAGGAGAGGGGTCAGAAACGGAATACAGTGACTCTTAGTGACACCACGAGATGGTATGGGAGTATGGGGGTCTGGGTGTGTTTGCTAATTAAGGGAATTGATTTAATACATTCAGGACTCGAAGATTAGAACAGGACTCTGTATGAGACTGTGTCCGTGTACGTGTAATGGGGGCTGATCGTCAGTAATCGGCCCTAGACATTTTTACATTCCGCATTTCCTGCCATTAATTTTTTAGCTGCACCGGCTTAAAAAGCCCCTTATGCCCCTCCCTTTCCACCTGGTCATTCCTCCACAGCCGACAGCTGATGATCCTGTCGGTCGCCATGAAACAAAATTGTGTCACCTCGGTACTGTAGACTAGTACTTTTTTTCACAGATTGTTCTTGTGCCTTTTATATCCGACCTTATCCGTCCGTATCCCGCGGCGCAGTCTTTTTATTAGAAAACGCACCTCACCTCCCTCCCTCCCTCCCTCCCTCCCGTCCTACTTTGCTTTGCCGTGTCGCACCCTGCTGCCGCAGGCCGACCCCGCGGCGTCCGCTCGAGCACTCCCCGCCTTGTCCACACCCTTGCTCCAGGTGGGTGGGGGTGGGGTGGGGCGGGAGTTCGGGTGGCGTGAAGAACCAAAAAAAACCATCGGCTCCGCGGTCTGGGGCTTTCAGCTTCCTGTCTTATTTCTCTACAGCCGTGGGAAATTGTCCCCTCAAAATATAATACCTATATTATTACGTTGTATTTTATTATTCAGCGGTTAAGCTTTATTCCTTTGCCAATTAAGCCCTCAAAGTAAACTTATGTTTATTACAGGAGCAAATGTAGGTAATCCAAGTATTGAAGCTATTCATTCATATTCGTTAGTTTAAATAACATGGAATCATTTACCTGCAAGACTTGCCAAGAATGATTTCCTCCGTATTTTGCAATTGCTTGCGAAATTGGGTCAATTTTAAAATTAAAGTCCTGGCTGGCTAACAACAAAAGCCGTACAAAAACTGCTCGTACAGGTATGGTCCCGCTACGTGAACGACCCTCTGATTGCTGAGAGCTCTCTGGAGGTGTTGGCGGCTCTGGCTCGGGTGCCCCAGTGCCTGGGGCCCCTGGCACAGCAGGTCCTGCCGGTGGTTAGTCAGGTGGTACGACAGCCGGCGGGGCAGGTGGGTTTTCTTCGGGAGTGTGTGGGAGTGTTTGGGTGTGTTGGGATCTCCTGGGTTTTGCGGTTCGGGTTTCTGAGTTGTGTGTTGGAAGGGACGGGGTGCGGGTGCGGGTTCCGGGTGGTGAACACATGCGCCGCTTGTATTGTGCGCGCGCCTGTGTTTTCTTCGCTGGTAATACGTGGAGCGACGTGTAGTGTCGTGTCGGTCCTTTCCTCCTCCTCTCCTTTACCTTCTCTTTCTCTACCTGGTCCCCTCCCTTGTCTCCCTGGTCTCCTCCCTTGCAGTCCCCCCATTACTTAGCTCCACCCTTTGTGTGTGTGTATGTATGTATGTGTGTATGTATGTATGTATGTATGTATGTATGTATGTATGTATGTATGTATGTATGTATGTATGTATGTATGTATGTATGTATGTGTATATATAACCTGAAGGCGCGGCTGTTGGCGCTTACGTTGTAGCGAACTGATTTTTGCGCACGACATTTGCGAAGCTTTGTCGTTTTTCCCATGCCCCTCAAACTGTACTGTACTGTACCATACTGACGGCCCAAATCCCAAACTTTGGGGTATTAACAGCTGAAACAAAGTATATATTTTTATAATTACGTGTCCATTTCATTTTTAAACGTTTTGCGTCCCCATCCCTGATTTGGGTTGTTGGCCAATCTGTTCCCCAATCTGGCCCCCATACACATACATACACATATACAGCCAGACGGTCTCGCCGAGGGCTGTCTGGACCTGCTCTGCAAGCTGGTTCGCCCGGCCCAGCAGGAGGTGGTGGCGGCAGTAGCAGCCATCTGCTACGGGCCCCTGTTGGCGCTGCTGCCAGGAGGGCCCAATGCCGAGGTGGATGACGACACGGGGGCCCTAACACACGGGGCCACGGAGCTGCTGGTGGAGCTGGTGAGCTGCTGCTGCGCACTGCGTAGGAAGCTGCAAGTTATAGGTTCCACACACACATGGGGGGGGAAAGTGTCCGTAAAAGCCGGGGGGGTGATCCGTGGACCCTTTTGGTTGATTTGCTTTCACAGCCATTCCTCCCTTACGTCCCGTTTACCCTTACGTCCTTTCCGCAGCTCCGGGCCGGTGGCGAGAACTTCCTTTCCTGGGCCGTACCCTCCCTCTCCGCCGCGACCTCCACCGCCGGCTCCGGCGCCGCTGCCGCCATCACCTCCTCCCCCTCCTCAGCCTCCCTTTCCCCCATGTCAACCAGCCCAACTTCCGCCTCCGCTGCCGACGTCGACGCCGTCTTCGCAGCCCTGCTCGCCACAACGCTGCGCATGCTGGACCCCGCCGCTGACGAATATCGGACAAGTCTTTCGGGCGACCTGGCGGCGGCGCTGGTGCGCTACCTGCCCTCCCGCGCAGCGGCGCAGCCTGCGCTGGGGCAGCTTCTGGCTGGGTGTTGTCGGAAGCTGGCGGCTAGTAATTTGGCGCCGCTGGTGGGGGGGCTGTTGGCGGCGCTGAGCCACATGGCGCTGGCGGGAGGAGCGGCTGGGTGGCTGGAGGCGCTTGGGGCGGTGCGTGTGGAGCCCCCGCAAGGTACGTGTCTGTGCCTGTGCCTGTGTGCGGCACAGAAGGTGGCAATACTTCACTTCGCGTGTGTGGATGGTGGTGATGATGATTAATGGTGATGGGACGTTGATGATGATGATGTTGATGGTAAGGGCTCCAAGGGAAAGTAACGAACGAAGTGACGAAGGAAGCCCAGTGAAGTAGAGTGGTTTGCCTAATTGTCATTTCTTCACATGTGACATGTTACGTGCCTAAGTTGGTGTCCTGGTTGACATTTTCCTTCTCTCTCTACCTCTCCCCCCTCTCTTTCCCACTCTCATGCCCTTATAAACGACCCCATGTATATATGCACACATACATACTTATATACATACTTGCATACAGGGGCCGGCGGTGCTGGTCCCATCACGGGTCTCCAGGCTGTGTTGCCAGTGCTGCTAGAGCGGCATAGCGACGTACGGGGCGCTCTGGCTAGCCGGGTGGTTTGTTTGGCGCTGCTGGAGATGCTCCGGAGCTGCCACCCGCTGCTGATGGCCATCACGGTGGGGTCGGGCGGGCGGGCGGGTCGAGTGGAGTGGGTAGAGTGGAGTGATGCACCATACCGCAGTTAGGACGGAAAGCCGCGAGCAGAGCCTCCCTCGCAGTTGATGCAGTCGAGGGGGAGGGCGAGGAGAAACACACAAACCGTGGCTGCGGTGGTCGGGTATCAAATGTTGCGGGATTTACTGGTTACTGATAACCCTGACTGCCAGTTTTGTTTTTTACACCGAACGGCTGCTGCTTTGGCGGTATACAAATGTTCCTTTCTCATACCTCCGAAACCAATTGAGCTGGAAGAGCTGAAGAGCTGGCTGATAATACTTGGTGGCAGGTGCGGCCGCCGCCGCTCCCTTGAGCTCCTGCCCACCGTCGCGGCTCTATTCATCCGCCCTCCAACCCGCCCTCCAACCCGCCCTCCACCCCTCGCGACCAACCCGTAACCCCAACGCCGGTTTGTGGACCCGCTACTCCAGGTGCCAGGTAAACGGCAGGACCTGGCGACTGGGGTGCGCACTCGGCGGCAGGCGGCGGCGGCAGGCGGTGAGCAGTGGACTGCCGTACCGGCGGCAGTAAAGGTGGCAGCTGTGGTTTCGGAGCTGCTTGTGGATCAGCCTTGGCTAGAGGAGGAAGAGGACGATAATGACGAGGACGGCGGGAGCGCGGACGATGATGATGAGGAGGAGTACGGCGAGGATGACGAGGATGACGACCTGTGCGATGGCGACGAAGCGGATGGGGACGAGGAGATTGAGGTGGGGTTGAAAGTGGGTGCGAGGAAATGTACTGGGCTTGAGGACTGGAAGTTTTCCTGCTTTAGAGTTTAATAACCGTGTCGTACGGCGTGAGCGTGAGATGAGGCCGTGAGATGAGGGCATGTAGCTTTGGCGGTAGGGTTGCCTATTTTGGCGCCCAATTGTTCCATTCCGTGCTGACGAGCCAACGAGCCTACTCATGTGCCCCTATTAAGTGCCGTATTGCCCTATCACTTATCCTGCGCACTTATCCTCTGATGCAAAGATATACGTTTGTGTCCTGTTTTGGCATTAGGACAATATTAGATCGGCAATGCACAGGAGAGCCAGTATTAGCGAAGTCACAGTTGTTTCCGTTGCAGTGCCCCTTGCTGCTGCTGCTGCTGCTGCTGCTGCTTTTGCTGCTGCTGACGCTGACGATGCTGCTGCTGCTGGCGATGCTGCTGCTGACGATGTTTTCGTGTGGCTTGCTTGCAGGACGGCGACGCCATGAACGGCAGCGGTGATGACGCTTCGGCGGTGATCAGCAGCAGTGGTAGTAAGCTCAGGCTGTCCGGCAAGGGAATCAACCAACGAGAGGTGCGTGTGGGGGGGTGATGTGGGGGGATGGTGGTGGTGGTGATAGTGGTGTGATCGTGTTGGGAACACTTCACAAAAAACCCTGGATCGGACTTGATAGGGTCCAGAGGAGCCTTATGCATGTATGCACACTTATATGGTAACTTGGTTCACCTGTAAGTTATGCCGTTCATCTTCTCTTGATTGCAACCAATTCTGCGGCGGGGCGCCAACAACGGGTTCGGGCAATCGATGTCCCTCTCTTCCCGACCGCAACCTGATTGATAGTCTGCTGTGCACTGATGTGTTTCCGGCTGTAGTTTTAATAACATTGACCACAAAGTGAGCATCGAGGGGCTGGCCGAGCGGTCAACCAAATCACGTAGCAGCATTTTTCTCATCCATAATCAAAAAAATGGGTTACGGCCTGTTGTGTCCTTTTCCTTTCACCCCTCCCCCCACCACCCACCCCCCTCAATCACAGCCCCTTTCTCCTTTCACCCCCCCCCCACCCCCCCACACCTTCCGAAATGCACCACAGCAATCCTTCTTGGACACCCACATCAACCGCAGCCCCATACTGCCCGCGGATTCTGCCGTGGTGGACGGGTGTGGCAGCTCGTCCAATGACGCGATGCAGACTCGCTCCGGCGAGGAGCGTTCCAACCCGCTCATGTCCATGGACTTGCGGACCCACCTCTTGGAGGCCCTTCGGCCGCTGCAGCAGCAGCCCGACACGGCTGCCTTCCTGGCCGCCGCCCTGGACCTCTTGCCCCAGAAGAAGCATCAGAAGGTTCTGGAGGCTTTGACCTCATCGGGGGCTGCTGCGGCGGCTGGAGCTGGTGCGGGTGCGCGAGGGTAATACAAGTTTACAAGTTCCGCACGAGTGGGGGGGGGTATGTCAAAGCCGGGAGGCCATGGACTACATGTATTGAAAGTTGATTCCACCGTACAACCGACGGCGGTTTTGGGTCCTGCAACCTGGACCCCTCCTCATATCCAGTCACCCGACATCCGTAGAGACAGGTCCTCTGTCCCCACCATCTCGGCATGCGAAACTAGTCCATCAACTAGACCTCTTCTCCACACCTCATCAGCGTTAGTAAACCTAGACCTTCCGAACAATGTCGGGGGTCTGACCAGGAATCGAACCCGGAACCTTCTGCTGGTGATTGGTGGTAGTGGGCAAGTAACATGTGTTGCCGCGATGGCTTTTGTCGTTCTGTCATTCTGTCGTTCGACGCGTCGCTGGGGGGGGGATAAAGGACTAGGGGGAAAATAGAGGGGGGACAAGGCGCAAACTTGGAGGTACATTTAATCACTACCGCACCACTCGGATTGTGATTCCGCAAAGCTGCGGATTCCGGGGATACGGGGTGTTGCGTGAGGCCGTACACCTGTGACGTATCACGCGCTGGGGGGTTCGCGGCGAGGCGCGGCAGCTACTGATAGTGACATTCACTCAGGGGTATTAGGATGAATTAGGATTTTTGGGGGGTTCTCGGGCAATCCGTGATGTTAGTGACGTTTTCCAATATAGGATTCAGGTGCCCCTAGGGTTCGTGTCTTATTTAGGACATCAGGCCTTTTTTAGTGAAGACAGATTGCGGTGGCTGTGCGACGTTGCCACGGCACACCTGCGAGGGTAAGAGTGGAGTTGTTTGGCAGCCTGTGAGTGGGTTGAGGTTTTAATAGATTTTTGGGGTGTGGCAACGGAACGCGACGTGTTTGTGGTACAATGCCATACACTGCGCCCTAGCTGAGGCGCAGGGAACATTAGCTGGTGCTGCCTCTCTGGTTGGGTAGACGAATGGTTACGATGCCGAAAGTAGCGAGAAGCACTAGGTGCCCGTGTTGATACCTTTTTCATTCTCTACCCACAGCCGAAAACATAGGAGAGGCCCAGGCCAGGTTGCCTGTCAGGATGCGCTTTTTACCTTTCTTGGTATGCATGGTATGCATGGTACGGCAACAGCCTAACCAGGAGTTGGATACAGGTTTACGCATTCAATTTGTTCAAGGTAACTATGTGATAAGGATACATGTGCCGTGTATGTATGCCAACAATACAATACCCAATGGTAAGACAGGTGTCCCTGCAGGACACAAGCGTAGGTGCATGTATGTTTAGTTTTTCATTCGCAGAACCTGCATCCGTGCATTGTTGGAACCATTTGTAATGTGGCAGTCAAGACTGTCGGAAGGCCGTTTAGTGGCTGGATTAGCCGCGGGGAATCATGCATCCTTTAGGCAGCGGGCAGCTAGACACCCTAGCTGCCCATTCACAGCAAATCTTTGAGGCACCGCCAATAACGAGTACCCATATGGATAACGTATTTCAAAAGGATGCTTAGAATGTTTTTCGCATGATATGGCTCGAATCTTTGATCACGAGAATACAGAAATGCACACAGCGGTGCAATTTGCTGATGATACGGAAGCTGTCTTAGGGGGAATGGAGGCAATTCCTGCTTTTCTTGATCTTGATTGTATGTGGGTGTTCGCAGGCCCCTGGACAGCAGCTAAACCTGGGTAAGGTTGAGCTTTTACCTGTCGGTGTCCACCCACACGAAGGTGGTACACATGGCAACGGCGCTCAATTTGCCTTTTACAGATGTGAGATGCACCACAGTCATGGACTGGGATGTGCAATAGGACAAAGTCTGGACTCGATTCCAATGCATTTCCATGCTACCCCTCTCCATTTTTGGGCCTGCACAGGCAGCGACCACCTATGGGGTGCATCGTTTTACGTGGCATTTGGAGCACGGGAGGTTTCCCCCAGATGTGAAGCTTATTAATGTAGAGGCTAAAGCTGCCAAGCTTCGTGATAGGAACCTGGGCCCGGCTGCACATGACAGGCGGCTCACTGGGGTTCCTGAACATTTGTTACATGGCTATCCAACTTTGGGCGGTTTTGGGGGCATTAGCAGTTCGAGAACACGTGCTGGGCGTGCTGGGCGGTGTGTTTTGTGAGGGCGATAGTCCAGCCAGTCTTAACACGGCCGCCTTGGTTCTTGGTCATGCACTCTCTTTCCTGCATGCCCTTTACCCGACGTACAATCCCATGTGTCTATTCACGTCCCAGGTGGGAGTGCCTTGGTTTGGGGTAATCGTTTTACCGCCAGATGTTCAGCGCATTGTGACAGCGTTGGCATACCTTCCCCCAGTTGAAGATGTTGATGTTCATCCGTTAGTTCCCAATGCGTGGTGTTGGAATTTGCCTCTGTGGGGAAACCCTGAAATCTTCCGGATAAAAAGATATTTGAGTGTCCCGTCAGTTCACATCCGCCCAGGACTGGAGTTTCGGCACCAAGCACTCCTGGGCTGTAAGGCACTGAAAACGTCCGGGGAGGGATGTTCTTCTTGCGCGAGATGCTTTAGATGTGGTTATGCCCACACACCGGACCAAGGTAAGCTTAGCAATACGCAGGGCGTGGCATCAAATAGTGGACCAATACCTCCAGCCGCGGACCCCACTAGCCCAATCCCTCTGCACCTTTCGTAAGTGGCAGGAATGTATGGATGCCATTGTTGCTCTCTTAGCTGACACCCCAGCGCATTGGTGACAGACGGCTAGTCTTTTGTTGCCTCTGAGTGCAGAATCTAGCGCAGCGATGGTGCCCTCAATTGAGTCTGTTACCCAAACCCTGATGTCGAGGCTAGGTTCGAGATGGGGTGCAGGGCCTCCCATCAGACTTCAAGATCTATCCGTTAAATTAGCGACTGATAGGCAACTTCCACCACTTTCTGTTGCCCGTCGAGTAGCCCAAACCCTGTTCATTAAAGAGGCGACGGGCTCTTCGGAGGTACTGGGTGATGCTATTCTTACTTTGCAACGGACCTTCCATCGTTTATGGTGTCATTTACGATGGGAAAATGAACAAAAAGAGTTTTGGTGGCGTCTCACGGTTGATGGGGTGTCCATGATAGGAAGTTCGCATCTCAGGATGTCGCGGCCAGCAGTGTGTGGTTGTGGAGGCTATCCAGTAGGTTCCCTGGGAGGTGTATCCCCTCGCTGTCATCATGGCTAAAGATTCCACAACAAAAAATGTTATGGCTCTTCGGCCCCCGTCGGGGCCCTTGAGGTATGAAAGGTTTAACGGTGCAACACAGGTAACTGTCATTACTATCGGCCACTAGCACATCTTTCACAATGGGTTGGTGTTGGGAGGGGGTTCGCAATCGGTTGTTACTACCCAGCGAAGCTAGCACAACAAAAACACCGCTCAATAAATGACGGCCCTGAGGATACGGGCCGTAGCGGTACAGTTAGTATAACTGTGACGGGCCGTACGCCCAACTAACCCAGCTTACTTCGGGCCGTACGCCCAATTAACCCAGCTTACTTTGGGCCGTACGCCCAACTAATAAACCTGTGACGGGTCGTACGCCCAACTAGCCCAGCTTACTTCACGAAACGCCAAGCACAATTACGCCCAAATACGATCAAATACGCCGGCGAGGTGTTCGATTTTTCGGGCGGCGTAATAGTGGCGTAGTCGGCGTATTAAGTTTACCGACGTACGGTATGTATGTGACAGACCATACTTCTTAAAAGACCGCTATCTCAGACGTAAAATTAGCGTCCTTGTCTACTTGCCTTTTGTGTTTTTAGACTGAAAACATGAATCCTAAGGAAGGTCACAGTTGGGATAATTTGACTGCGGACCTTGTCGAGCGTGTTGTTAGCTTCCTGGATCCAAACGAGGTGGTATGTACCGTCAAGGAAATCAATAAGGCCATGGCGAGCCAGTTTCGGGAAAAAGTAGCTATTCGGTTGTCGCAGCCCGTACCCCATCACGCGTTCAACAGGCACTGGAGCCGCCCGGAGGCAGTCCATAACTTCGTGCGAGATAAGCGCCGAGATCTCCTACTTCTGACTGCCCGCAGCGGCAGCCTGGCCAACCTGCAGGTCGCTGTCAAGGCAGCGGGCTGCAAGTTCTCCTGGGAGGTCTTACACGCAGCAGCCGAGGGCGGCAATCTTGAGATGTGCCAGTGGCTGCAGGGAGAAGAAGACTTCCTCTTCTTGTATGGGTCAGCGGCAGTAGCAGCTGCCCGAAGTGGCCATCTGGAAATGGCCCGGTGGCTGCTGCAAGAGGAGTGTAATTTTGCAGAGCGAGAGAGAGCTGAATCCGAAGCATTTGAAGCAGCCTCCTATGCCGGTCATCAGAGTGTGTTCGAGGGGCTCCTGAAGGACTGTCTGAGTGACCCGAGCCCCGAGACGTGTCTTGCTGGTGCTGCCCGCGGTGGCCATGTGGGCCTCACACACTGGCTCCTTCAGCAATTTGAGCCAGAATTAGGGCAAACGTCGAGCTTCAGAGAGCCGTGGAAGGCCGATATTGTCACGGAAGCTGCATATGGCTTCGACCTGGCGGCATTGCAGCACCTGCACCGGACCCTTCTGACGTATGGTGGTGATGGTGGCAACGATGCCAGCAGCCTACGAACCGTTTACACCCTTGTGGAGGCCCTGGTGGGCCCGACCCCCGACTGGCGGGCCAAAGTCGAATGGCTGCAGGCTCAGGGCTGCCGCTTCGGTAACCTTGAGTACTTCAATTTTGGGGCCATTGTCAGCCGCCCGGATTCTGTGGAGCGGGTGCAGCGGCTGCTTATGGAGGTAGCGGAAAAGGGTGTCGTACAAAATATCTTAATCAAATCCGTACAAGTTGATAACCTGGCCCTGATACGCTACTTGCGAGCTGGGAGGGACTGGCTTCCAGAACGCACGAGCTGGGCAGTGTTAATAGCAGTGCGTGCCGGCAATATGGCGCTGCTGGTCGAGCTGGTGAACTTGGGCTGGCGGCTTGACGAGGACACTGCACTGGCCGCTGTAGAGGAGGGTCACCTGCACATCCTTAAATGGATAGATGCAGGTGGTGGTCGGAAGCTCATACAGGAGGTCGTGCGGCGGCACCCGGCTCTGTTGAAGAATGCAACATCGTCTGGTAATGTGGAGTTCATGGAATGGCTGCTAAATGAGCTAGACGTGCCCTGGAGTGGAGAGGAGCTTCTTAATGCAGCGGTGGAGGCAGGCAGCCCAGCATTACTGGAGTGGCTTGTGGCCCGGGGCTTTCCCATGGGGGTGAGTGGCTCGCCTGCATGCGTTCGGGTGCATGTTCTTGATGCGTGCTGTTGTTGGTGCTGCTCAGCTCTACTGCTCATCACTGAACGTATGCCACGCACTGTCTGGCGTCTGCTTGGCTGATTGCCTTGTGAAGGACCTTCACCTCTCACTTTTGACGTTCATCAGTTCTGCATCAGTTCTGCTGCTGACCTCTGGACTGGATGGTAAAGGATCTGTCACTCGGTTTCCATTTGACTGTCTGATGGTCGTATCGTTATGTCTTCGGAATGTAGTAGCGATCTTGCGCTCTGGCGCACGCAGTCAATTCATAAACATGCTGGGAGCACATTTCCAGCCTTTTCTACGGGACCAGCTTCATACGCCTCGCACGTTGCCATGTCGCAGGACGATGGTGAGCTTTACGTAAGGGCAGCGCGCTATCACGACCTGCTCACTCTGCGCTGTCTGAGGCGGCTGGGCTGCCCCTGGGGCCCCGACGTCTTCAGCCGAGCGGTGTACGACATGGGCAGTTGCACTATCGAAACGGCTTTAGAGCTCCTTCAGTGGCTGCACGCCGAGGGCTGCCCGGTGGATTGGGAGGAGGCCAGGAGCCGGGCCAAGACCCGAATAAGTGCGCATCGGAGAAATGCAAAAGATGTCGCTATTCATGACTGGATTGAGAGCATAGCGCCGAGTTAGCTGTCGGGACGAGCCAGCGGGGCCTATAACACCAGCAGACGTGCGTATCAAGCAAGGCAAATAAACAGAAGCAAATCTCAGTTGTGAAATCTCCTCTGCGGTCGGGAGAACGACAAATGATGCATATACACATACACCTCCTGGCCTTTGACAACAAGGTAGATGATTAGTGCCTTTGTAGATGGCCGATAGCTTGCGGGATGAAGGATACGGTGTAGGATAAGGTGTACGGCCACACACACGCAGTGTGACAGCTGGTCAAGCTACGTACGGTTATGGGGTACATAAGTCGTGGGTCCGTACGTCATCGAACAGGAGGTACGATTTCACGTGCGGTAGACTTTCATTTTATCAACCCCGGAGCAAATACTGCAAAGCGTGCAAACTTTGGCACCGTGTGCACCACTTCAAATTGCTAATTGGCAAGGAACGAGCTCCAAAATCTGTGTCTGTTTTAAATTTTTAAATTAAAAATTTGTCTGCAGCCTTACCACCAGCTGGAGCTTGTTGCGGTTCTGTCTTCGGTCAGGAAAGGAGGACCCAGAGGGCATTTGGACGTCGTAACTAATGTAACCCCTCCTTGGACCCCCCAGAGTACCTGAATGCTGTTTGCAAGTGGGTAAACGCTGCCCTCCTGCCATATTGAGTTTTAGTTTTTCATTCGCAGAACCTGCATCCGTGCATTGTTGGAACCATTTGTAATGTGGCAGTCAAGACTGTCGGAAGGCCGTTTAGTGGCTGGATTAGCCGCGGGGAATCATGCATCCTTTAGGCAGCGGGCAGCTAGACACCCTAGCTGCCCATTCACAGCAAATCTTTGAGGCACCGCCAATAACGAGTACCCATATGGATAACGTATTTCAAAAGGATGCTTAGAATGTTTTTCGCATGATATGACTCGAATCTTTGACCATTAGTGAATGGGGAAACACATGTTTTTGCAAATATTCCTAAAAAATCGTAAAACCCTCCTGCCATTTCTGAGTTTTAGTTTTTATGATGTTCTCCTTCGGGAATGAACTAAAAAATTTTATTTTCTTTATTATTCGATTTCAAGTACTCCCCCCCAGAAAAGATTATCGCGGCTGGGTCCTTGCCAGTTATTCGTGTTCCGTACAAACACGTCATGGACAAGAGCTGCAACAGCTTAAAAATTCAGATTACTTCATGTAGTCGTGGCAAATTAGAAGTAGTCACCAGTAGTTCGTAGACTCAGCTCCTTGCACACCTTCCAGGTCTTGCGGGATACATCACACCGGTCTTGGTCGCCGACATGTGAGCTAATTTATCAAATTCTCAATGCTCATTCATTCATTCATTCACTCTTTCATTCACTCTTTCATTCACTCTTTCATTCATTCATCCATTCATTCATCCAATCTCTAACCAGATTCGTTCGTCGATTGAACCGTTCATGCACCAAGAGTTGCGAAATGGCGGAGTTAATTAATTACGCAACCCCCGGCGCACACACACACACGCCTTTCATACGCCCCATTTACCGCTCCACAGCTCCCCCACCAAAACCCACCCCCCTCTAGCGCCATTCATGCGACAGGCGGCAGCAACTCATCCGTCCCCATCACCCGTACGTCGGGACGGCAGCCCCGGCACAGCCGCACCAGCAGCTCCAACATCCGAAACACATCCCCGCCTCCGTCCTTGCCCTCCCTCCCCCCCGGGGGCCCCGTAGTCCCCTCCCCTCCCTCCGCGCCGCCACACCAGGAAGGGTACACGGCCACGTCTAGATCAGCTCCGAAACCACCAGTTGCTACAGCTGTTGCCGTCATCGGTGTAGCATTGTTGCTTGTCGCAGCCAGCCAGCTGCGCGTGCGAACAACGGCCGCCAGCGCTACCACCAAAGCATCGCGGCCTGCGCGGGAGGGATAAGGATGAGGAGACAAAGCATTCCCCACAGCATTTCCACCGACCGATACGGACTGCACGCTGCTGCACGCTGCTGCTCCCATACCCGTGACAAGACATGAACAGTTGATGGATATGACACTTCTTTCCCCCCCCCACACCTTTCTTAGCTGACCACAAAACCCCCTCATCTCCGCAACCGCACACACCCTCCAGGTGGGTTGGACGTCAGGGCGGTTGTTCGTGCGGGTTTTACACCACATCACTTTACCCCCTCCTTCCCCCGACCCTCTCCCCCGACCCTACAGCTTACACATCTCACACCCCAGATTCCACGTGTCGCGTCTCACCTGCAGCTAAGAGCACCACTTGACCCTCACGAACCACCGCGGGACCCAAACGGTCCGCCAGCTCTCTCGCATCCGTCGTACGGTTGACGTACAGCCGTACATGCGCCTCCGATGCCGGAACAACGCCCGCCAAAGCGACAATGGGCACTCGATGCGAATACAGCCGCCACACGCGCTGCCGCTCCATGTCACCGCTGGGATTGCCATTGCCGCCGCTGCTGCCGTACTTGCTGCCGTACCCACCCGACCGAATGTATGGCTGTTTAGGAAGCAGGACCTGCAGCGCTAACTCGCCGCCGGATGCCGGCTCCGGCTCTGGCTTGTCCTTCAATGACTTCATCACCCCCTTTCCCCCCCGCTGCTGCTGCGGCGGCTGCCTTAGGGCGCCCAACTGGGTGCCGTACCGCCCGCCGACGTTGGCGGCGCCGTCGCCGTCAGCTGTTGCGCTCTGCGGTTCTCTGCTCCGCTGCTGCTGCTGCTGCTGCTGGAGAAAGCCTCTTGCCGTGGCCACCACCTTGACCGCCTGGTACAAGTCGTCTGGGCCCACCACCTCGCTGAGAACCACGAGATGGCGCGACAGTGCCTGGGTCGGGGGGGAAGGGGGGGAAAAGGGGGGAAAGGGGGGAAAGGGGGGAAAGGGGGGAAAGGGGGGGGGGAGAGAGCGCGGAACGGAGGGGTAAACGACGAACCAGTGAAGTGAATGAAAGCACTTCAATACCAGAGGTGTACGTAGTACTGCACCCCTCCCCTCCCCTCCCGGGCTGAATTGTTAGCCTCAGATCCCTATATGGCATAGCATTGCATGGCATAGCGTGACAGGGCACTAGGACGGGTGAGACCCGTGTGTTGTGTGTTGAGCTGTACGGCTGTACCTGGAGTAACGCGCCCGCCATGCCCCCGACGCTCTTAGCAGGATCCAATCGCAGTCGGTAGTCGTACTGTTGCCGCCGTACAGGCTCGGCCTCTTCCTCTCCCTCCTCAACGGTTTCCTCACCGTCCGATATCTCCTCCTGCGGCCCGCCCTGGTGAGCTGTAGCAGCAGCCGCAGCAGCCGCAGCAGCAGCCTCGTCGCCTTTTCCAAAATCAGCGACATAGCCACGCACGTCCCGCCGTATCTGCCGGCCAGCCTGATGTTGCTTCTGTTGCTGTTGCTGTTGCTGTTGTTGTTGTTGAAGCTGCTGCTGTTGTTGCTGTTGCTGTTGTTGTTGCTGTTGTTGAAGCTGCTGCTGCTGTTGTGGTCGCTGGGGTGAAGGCGGTCCCCACGGAGGCGGTTGAGGCGGTTGAGATCGCGGTTGCGATGTAGGACCCCGGGGCCCCTGTTGGGCCCGTAGCCGCTCTTGTGGTTGCGATGCTTGCTGCTGCTGCGGTGCGGGTATCGCTGGCGGCTGCGGCGGCGGCTGCTGTGCGGCCGTCGCGACACGCTTACCAGGTCGCTCCGTCACCGCCGCCGGCGCCGTCACCGCCAGCTCAGCGTCCTCGTCGCTCGGGTCGTGATCCGACTCGTTATTGACCCGCGGGTCGCTTACCACAAGATAACGGTACTTCGGCGCTGGCGAGGGGCCGCCCCGCCGCCATGCAGCGCTCACAGTGTTGTCCGCCGCCGCCGCCGCCGTCGCTGCCGTTTCCGCCTCGTCAAGGCGGAAGTCGTGAAGGAACTTGCCGTCGCCGCCTCTGCCAAGGCGGCGGCTTCCCTTGCGAGAGAACCCTCTCCCCGCCTCCTCCCCGTCTTCTTCCCCCTCGCCGTCAGACTTCAAGCGCCCTGCACCCCCCGGACCGAGGCCTAGCACATCCAAGGACTGAAACCTGCGGCCTTGTGCCTGTACGAGCGCCGGGTGGACTGTACGGCGGGACAGCTCTTCCGCGTCTCGCTGCGCCTGGTCCATCACCTCCTGAGCCACCTCAATGGGCGACACCAGGAATGTAACCTTACCCGCCACCTTGCCGCCGCCCCCGCCGGGCTTGTACGGCGTTCGTACAATAGCTTCGCCGGTGAACTTGCCGTTCGTCCTCAACGCGCCTTCGATGGCCTCGCGGATCATGCGCTGCCGCCGCTCGTCCACACCGCCGTCGCTGCCGCGGCGGCCGCTGCCGCCAACGTCATCGTCGACGTCGCCGGATTCATTCAGGCCACTTTCATCGATATTGTCAATGTTTGCCGTACTAGTATCGGCTTCAGAAGTCGGGGGCGTGCGACCAAACGCGCGACGAGAGCCAGCGCTGCCGCCGCCGCCGCCGCCACGTCCCTCTCTGGCGGCGGCGGCGTTGGAATCCGTACCGCTACTGCCGCCGCCGCGGTGATGGCGCCGGTGGGTTCCAGTGACTGGCGTTTCGGATCTGTCTCTACGACTGGAACCACCTGGATTCCCGCCACTTGCAGTGTTGGCTCTACTGCTGCTGCTGCTGCTGCTGCTGCTGCTGCTGCTGGTAGCGGCACCGTTGTTGGAGCCGCGGATTGGCCGATCCGAAGTGGTTACGGCCGCTGTGCTCTCACTGGGGGATGGCCTTAAGGTCGAGGAGCGCATGGCTGCACGGCCTCGTTGGCTACTAGCCTGTGAGCCAGTACTAGTCTTCGCCTGTGCGTCTTGATTTTGGTCATTCTGTGGTCGCTCCTGCCACCTCTGTCGCTGCGGCTGCTGTTGCTGTCGTTGCTGTTGATTCTGCTGCTGTTGTTGCTGCTTTAGGGGAGTTGATTTTGGCAAGCCAGTCTGGTTTGTGTGGCGGGGTCCTGCGGTAGCTGCCGCGGTGATGCTGGCGTAGCGTCCGTTGGCGGGCGGGGCCCGAGACCACCTTGCGGCAATTGTCATGCGGTATCTGAAAGGGCAGCTGCCCGACGATAGTCCCATGCGAATAGGGAGTTGCTAATAGGACAACCGATAAGGGTGATCGGTAACAGGATGGTTTGGGGAGGACTTATGCATGGCCATAGCGGGGTCCAATGCGCATGGAGATGTGTTTCAGCCACTGCGGCTTCTCGGGACGCGATGCAATTTTAGAGCAGTAATACGTAAGGGGCTGCTTATGAGGGACCAACCAACACCTTCGGATACCTGCCCGATCACGTATCGTGTTGCCATAAAGGCCTTTTCACTAATGCACCAGAGGCGTCACACCAACACTTGCATCTGGTTACACAAATATGTATGATTACTTGCGCATAATGGAAGTGTAAATGATCATCGTAAAAAATGCTAGGCTCCCAAAAACATGATCCACGTACGGCCCTGGAAGGACGTTTTGAGCAGCAGGCTCACAAAGGGCAAATGGAGATTCGATCGCATAGGGTTTTGGATTGTGATTCCATCCTTTAACACGCGATTCACCATTTTGGTATTACAGCTGCTGACGACAGCTGGTGCAGCGTCGTCATCCTGAGCATCCAAGGGCATGGAAGTCTTTCGACTTGCAGGGAATAGCTTCTTAATTTCATAAGGATATGGCTATCCAAGGGCCTCATGAACTAGGGATTCAGGATGGAGGAACCGTACGCGACCGTTGGTCGTGAGTCAAAAAGCGACCAGCGAAAGAGTCATGCCACAACCAGGAAGTTACAGCATGCCGTTATGATACAAAAACACACAGATTTGCGTGATTTAATTACGATATTTGTCCTACCTTTTGGGACAGCATCAGTCTAGCTGCAAAAGAAGATATTTTTTAAAACGCGCATGGGATGTGACTAGAACCAACTGAGGCAAGTAATGCATTAACATCTGACCTGAATGAGATGCCCCGAAAAAGTTGAGCACCCTCTAGTACGCAAACATCCCAAACCATTCGCAAAGCACGAACATGTCATTCGCCGAACCAGGGCAAACGGTTCTGCTGTCCTTCTGGCCTGGTACAATCCTTTCTAAGTGTTCCGACCGGGTGAATGGCCCTCAGTAAATAAGCTTACATAAGAGACGCTGTGGCGCTGCGCTTAGTGTCGCCCTCCCTGCGCCCGCTGTTTCTCTTCGCTGCAACCCCCATCATCATCATCATCGTCATCATCATCGCAGCACCTCTGAGAAGAAGAAGAAGAAGAAGAATACATAAGATCCAATTCAGAGCTAAATCTAGATCCAGATCCAACTAGTCTAAACCTAGTCAGCGCGGTGGCACTTGGCAGCATTCTTGAGCATGGCCGGTCACCCAACCTGGCTACCGGGCTATTTCGCCAGCACCAGCGCGCACCAGCCATATAGATTGGGGCTTTCCGTAACCTAAACGCCCAAAGCCACGCCACATCCACATCTGCAAAACAGCCTCTGATGACCACCATCATGGAAATCCCAATCTCCCGATTTCACTCAGTCTACTACCATATCCCACTAACTCTACCCTCCTGCGATTCGCGAAATGCACACATGGCACACACACGTACACACATACTTGCATACACACATACATGCACACATACTTTACTTACATACATGCATACATATACACACAAAAAATACACGCGCGCGTGCGGACCTCAACGGTCCCCTAACCGACATGTGCCGCATGACGTAACAACATGTGAACGCCGTACAATACACACGTGAAACATGCGGGAAATGGCGGGTTGGGTTCCAAACAACACAATCATTATCCAGCAAATCAACCCCAATGCAAAACCCCCCCCACCCAGATCAGCTAAAAAACCCACTAAAGCCATATTAAAACCCCATGAAGACCTCAATAAAGCCCCATTAAAACCCTTGTAACGCCCGCTAAAACCTCAACAATCGTAGGGCAGCCCGCCACCACTCACACCTAGAGGACATATAAAGCTTAAGAAGGCTCCCTGATTGCTCCCCTGCACTGCCGTACTGCCGTACGTGCCTTTAACCCGCCTATAAGCCGTATAGTACCAATGGGCACTGCATCCACCACGCAATACGAGAACACTTTCCACAGCGTTAGTTATTTCAGTTGAGGGTCCAACTAGAACCAGTTGGGACGGACTGCTTGCGTCCCTTGGGTAGCCCCATTACGCCCCCCTAAAACCCGAACAGACTTTAACAGACCCTAACAGTCTCTAACAGAATCTAACAGACTCTAACAGATTCTAACAGATTCTAACAGTCTATTAACTGCACAGCCTGCCCCACTGCCGCCACACTACACCCATCCACTTCATCGCGAAAGGTAAAATCCTAAAACTATCACTCGTGCCTCTTCGGCCGAGTAGCCCTCTACATCTCTCCCCCCACCCCCATTTCCCCCACCCCACCCCACCCCACCCCACCACACCCCACCACACCCCACCCCACCACACACAGTGAATATCCCTGATGCAGCATTTCTCTCTTCCCCTGAACGG